AGCCATGCAGCGCTCCTCGGTGCCATCTCCAGCAGCAGAGCTCTCTGGCAGGAAGCCAGGACTGGCCTTGCTGTTTCCCATGGATGACCCGCACTGGTCTGCAGGACCAACAGGTTTTGCTATATTTGCTGTTGGTCCTCAGCTATAGCTAGATCCTTTTTCCAAGGAAATTAAGTGTTAAATTTGTGCCTGATTTTTATTTGGTTGTGGCTCTTGTAGTAATTACTGCTGGCGTGTTCAGGCTTCTCCACATCCAAAGCCCCTTTGTCCCATCTACTCTAGAATGTTACAGCTTGAAGCAAGGTGAGCGATAGTGCAGGAAAAATGGGAGTGTGTGATTCCACAACAGTATCCAAAGACAGAGTTGAATTACGGCTCCCTGCAGTGCCTTATGCTATACTCCCTGCAAAATAATTCCTTGAGGTCCTTCCTCTAGAGAAGTTAATGGCATAAAAAGGAAAGGCACAAGGTTGGGGAAGTAATCTTAATGAAGAGTCGGAACCCAGACATCCTCAACTGCAGCTTATGTGTAGTGATGATGCATGTGCTTTTTCTGTCCTTTTCATTCTTGTAAATGTCCTGATATAACTATGAATGTTACCAAAAGGCCACATGTTCCAGGATCGTGGTTTTCAGTCTCATAAATGATACAATGAAAACTATTACTAATGCATTGCACATATGCGTTACAGCTTACTGAAGATCTTGAGATCTCGGGTGTTAAAAAGCTGAGTAGTTTTGAGGTGTAACCTTTTGTTATTCAAGTGACTAAAACCAGTTAAGTCAATACAAAATTCCAGATGTTTTACTTAATATTTTATTATCAGTATTTCAGTAAACATACTGAAATATAGTTGACTTAGAATTGAGAACTATACTACATTATATGTAACTATCTGGGTGTCTTAGAAGACATAGGACCAAAAAAATAGAGAGGACAAATATACATTATATTTAATATATTGAAGAGCATTGCTTTATAAATATACATGAATGAAGCTAAAATGATTGATTCAAAAGGTCTCTAAAGTCGAGTGAGTTAATTTTCATCTTCATACTCCGAGAAAAGAAAGCCAAAAAACCCAAAATTAGTAATCAGTTATGGCAATCTGAAGCTAAGATAAAACGTATTACATATTTGGTGTTATAAATTTGATTAATATACTTTCTGGTGTTTGTAGCAAGTAAATAATACTCTTAAGATTTCATACAAATATTTAAGCTGCTTCCATGTATTGTTACAATTGCTATCTGCAGTATGCTGTGACTGTTGAACTAAGCCTCTCTTGAAAAGCCAAAGTAGGGGAATATACGTCAGCTTTTATCAGCTTCATTTTCCTCATTTATTTTACAGCATTTATAGAGGGAGCAACAGTAAGAATGTGAGAGGAATTACAAGTATCTGCAAGAAAGCAAGACTGGAAAGGAGTAGGAGGAGACGAAAAGCTTGCAATCCGTTTTTTTTTTTTAACTTAACACAGGAAAACTTGTAGCTTAACAACCTCTTTCCAGGTTGTCCTCTGTATGGAGAAGGACTAACTACGGGCTTCTGTGCACACAAGGAGAAACTATCATAGAGCAGCTCTACCAAGTGGCCTATGAAAAGGATATTTGTATCTACGGACCCTCAACCAAAGATTGTATAAAACAAGGTTTCTGTAATCTTGACTGTAGCTGTTGTTTGATCCACAAGGCTGAGAGGTCCCAGCTAACTGGAGGCTTATGTAAAATTGTTATTTTGATTCTCAAGAAATGGGATAAACTATTAATTTCAAATTAAGCATTAAGGCACAGTGGTTTTGAAAATACTTAAATGTGGCCTAGCTCCTGTTAAAGGCCATGGCAGGGTTGGATTTAATATTGTTTCATTCAAAGCACCTTTGGAATTTCTATTTTCTTTCATTAGCAGACTGTTCAGAATTTTTTGGTCCATCTGTGTCCCTTCATTTTGGGAGTCGCTGTGTATAGAGGGAACAAATGGCTTTGTTCACTCCGACCAGCCTGCACAGGGAGAACTGTGCCAGCAGCAGGCTCTGGAGCTGCCCGGAGCAGGGGGAGCAGGAAGGTGGCGTTGTCTTTGGGAGCGGCCCTGGGCCATGCCCGGGATGCCAAATCCCTGCTCGGCATCCAGCTCCCTCCTGCTGCTTTTGGGCCAATGCGAGGATGGGCTTTTTCTCGTGCTCTTGTTTGTGCAGCTTTAAATGACTTTATTCACTTAAGTATAAATAGATGACGCTTTAATAGCCTTCTGGTAATGCCTATGGCAATGCATTCTGCTGTACTTCTTTAACCCTTTTTACAAAGGTTAAAAAACCCCCACAAATGCCTGAAGGCCTCTTCCTCACTGGTCAGCTTTCTCTTGTACAAAGTGATATGATACAGGAACGGTACTCTTTTTCTGAGAGCTTCATCTTGCAAGCAGAAATTAAAAAAAAAAGAAAAGAAAATAAGAATATTGGCTTCATATGCACAGCCTTTATAATTGGGTTTAATAGTAGTCATTTAAATATTTGTTTTAAAATTAACAAATAAGCATGAGTTTACATGGTCCACTAATTCTGGATAACCTTAAGACATTATTAAAGTGATATGTCTCTCCAAATGCACTTGAAGACTTTGATTAGCCAGCTCAAATATTAACAGTATCTCTGTGACATATTTTTAAATATTAGAGAAGACTTAAGCATGCAGGAAATCTAGAGGAAAACGTAAATGTGTGCTTTCATTACTGAAATAAAGCGTACAGAAAGATTTATACTTTATAGCTCACTGTGTATGCATTGGGAGAAGCTACTTTTGTGACACAAATGCCCTTCTTTGTTGCTTACCAATACCCGTATTCAGTGACACAAAGAACAACTGTTGTAAAAAATATTAGTATGCAGATGCTCTGGTGTTTTGTTAATGCATCTAATTAAATACAATAACTCCTTTGTTTGTTTTTCTTCTTCTGTCATTGAATGGATTTGTATTATGGTATAGAGTTTAGGCTTGGAGTTGCTATTTAAAATGTTTTGTGGTACTACAATGTGTCATATGTCCACGTTAGTTACTTTCTCATTCATTCAATTAAGAAGATTGTTTGGGGACTTTTATAATTTCTAATAAGTTTGGAAGTATCTTTTCAGGAAAACCCAAATTCCAAAGTCGCCAGCAAATATTTTTCTTTTCCCTGCTGATGAGGACTTTGGTTACAATTAGCATTAGTTAAATAATTGCATTCCCAAGAAATACTTTCAAGTGTTTTAAATAAAGAAGATTTCTTGAAGTTCCCCAACATTTTTTAGGTAGTTTTCGTGGAAGGGGGAAAAAAAAAGAAGTTGCACAGCAAACCTGCATGCATGTTTTTATAAGAATAACTGTAGCAGACTGAAGGACTGGCATGTACTTGCAGAAGCCATCATTACTGTCTCATGTCATTATCGAGAAAATTATTTCAGAATTATTCTCAGACTGAGAAGAGGTTTCTTCAGTGCCTTGTGGGTGGGCGAAATCATATGAAATGACTGTGTCAAGTCTAAAATTGCTCTCGTGAATCAGCAAAGTGTTTGAGCCCAGAGTACTTGGAAAACATAACAGTATCCTATCCCGCCCATGGCAACAAGGACCAAATCAAATGGGGATGTAATGAGGTAATTGGAAGACCCTAAAGGTAACATATGACTAACTGTAACCTATTCTGAAATTTTGAGCCCCGTTAACTCCAAAGAATGTGTCTGACACCGAGCGAGTATGTGGGAGGTGTCCACTTTGAAAGTGGCTTCTCAAGCAGTGACCTACCAGTATTCTGCTGGTGTTCCTTGTAGATAAGACATATTTCTCAGTGAGCGCAGTTTCCTTTAGAACAGTAGGAATAATGGTGTAGACTCCAAAACCCTCCATAAATCTTTCTGTAACTGACAGAAAGAGCTACTACAGATTAAGGGTTAAGTGTGCTGCAGCTGATTCTTTTCAGATACTTTACTGCATGCATCAGAACACAACTGTGGAGAAGGCAGCAGACAGTTCAGTGACACCACGGAGGTCTGTCTTGGCACTGTTCTTGGCTAAAAGCTCATCAAGTTCTGATAATTTGTTTTTGTCACTTCTCACAAGCGCTAAATGCAAATCAGACAGTTTTGCTCTAGGCCTTCAGCATCGGCACTAGGACATCGTAGTCCGAGTGCCAGGATCATACATGAAGAAAAACTGTCATGGGAGACCAAGCCGAAATTGCAGTTTAGTGTTCTCTGCCTTTTTGAAGTGAGGACAATTTAAATAGTGAAGAAACCTCCCTTCATTTCACTTGTGAGATCAGTACTGGAGTTACGGTGAGGGATTCCAAATGGGGACAAAACCGTCAAGTACAAAAGCTCTGACATCGTGGAGAGGTAATGTGCACTTGAGAAGGCACAGTCCTGCTATGTCGCTGCTTTTTTTTTATTATTTTTTTTCCTGTTCTGGAGAGAACCAGTGCATTTTAGAGTTGTAGCCCTCAAGGGAAAGTATGGGAATTCTGATTATTCACTGAAAGCCTCCTCAGTCAGTATGCCTTCCGCGTAAATAGTTTCAGTTATGTTTTGAACACCCTATTGATCTGTTTACAAATAAGTTTAATTAAAAAAAACCCCTAGAACTCCTGCATATTTTGTGTGAGAACATCATCCCAGCTTTGGTTCCAAGATAGCTTAATGTTCTTAAGGGCTGGTAGGGAACATAGTTTCATTACAACTGCACATATTACGGGTTTTGTATGAAATGAGCATCTCAAGGCGAGGGAAAGAAAGCAGCATTGTTCCAGGGCTGTTTTTCACAGGCCTGTATTCATATCTCATCCTTGTTGTTTGCAGGAGAGGCAGATGTGAACCAGAACAATGGGACCTCCACGAAGAGCCCAGCGGTGACAGACTCCAAAGGCACAGCAGACCCGAAGAATGCCTGGCCTGAGGCCAACCCAGCTGACACGGCCGGTCGCCCCCACTTGATCCGCCTCTTTTCCCGAGATGCCCCAGGAAGAGAAGACAACACCTTCAAAGATCGGCCCTCAGAGTCAGACGAGCTACAGACCATCCAAGAGGACAGTGCAGCAGCTTCAGAGAATTCGGATTTGATGGCTTCACAAAAACGCTCCTCTTTCCGGCACGGATCAAAAATGGCATCCGCGAGCACTACAGACCATGCTAGACATGGATCTCCAAGGCACAGAGACTCGGGTCTACTTGACTCGCTGGGCAGATTCTTTGGAGGTGAAAGACACGTTCCCCGGCGGGGCAAGGTGAGCTCTGAGGAGTAGAGAACTGCACAGCTACGGCAAAATACGGTTAAACAGGAAGGGTGGGACTAAGAGGAAGGTGTAACTGCTATAATGCAAGAGTTGACTTAGCCAGCGAGATGATACTTGCAGATGTGTAATTTAATGCTTGGCTTTAAACTGAAAACAACAACAACAAAAAAGCATAGATCTGGGAAACAAGAGGAGCTATTCTGGGTAGTAACAAAGAGTATTAGAAATCCAAGTGGCTCTAGAAATGTTACTGAGAGGATTTTTTATGAGCATTTAATGTGATGCATTGTATGCATTTCAGTCTGCTTTTGTGTGTTGTTCTTAAGTATTTGCAGAACGAAGCTGGATGAGAGCATTAAATGCAAGACAGACTTAGAAATAGATGTTAGAACTGTGGCCAGATTCTCTCCTATTTGCGCAAGAGTGTGTTTTAAGGTTGGTTGATAGCTTTACTGAGGAGATGACTTGACAGATATTATCCTGAATCCCAGGTGTACGCAGTAGCCCAGCTGCCTTATTGTGACGAGAAGTAAAGATTTATATTTCGAGCATTTTGTATTAGAAATTGTGTCACAAGTCATGTCTTCATTCTGAATTGAAAAACAAGGCATTGATGGAAAGATAAGATGTGAATTCTTTACTTTTCTGGGATTTGCCTGCCTCGTCTCCTAAGTTACGCTGATGGTGTGCTAGTTTGCTGTTGTTCAAGTGGCAAAGTTTAAGATATTTCCACTGTACCCTTTGCCATGTAAATGGTAAGTGGAGGCTTGTGTTTGTGTGTTCACTGCTGTAAGGCTGTAGAATGGAACTACTGGAGGGCTGTAAAACCTTTGTTTTAGCCAAATATGTTGTTCAATGTAGTTGCTCAAGTTGCACGTCACAAAAAGTGATGCTTGCAGTTGCTGGCTGGGCCCAAATTTTTCCAAAACCTTTGACAACCTTTCCTATCTGTTTGATAGTTCTAACCTGTGGTGCTTGCTGGGCTGGGTTTAGCATGTGCAGCTTTCCCACATGGGCTGTCTCACGGCGTTGTGCTGGGCCAAGAAAGGCATCGCTGCCCCGCGGTGTGATGCTGATTTGGGATTGCCCACGAGCTGGGGACTGCCAGCACACCTCGTAGCTTTGCACGTGGAAGCATGATGTGAGATAGCCCTTCCCTCAAGAGCTGTTAGGTACAGAGCAGTGGACGGAAAATACTCTAGAAACTTCAAACTCTTCTACTCTTCACAAGCTCAGTAGCCTGTATGAAGGAGGCTGTGTGTTTTGGTGGGTTTGTTCCTCACGTTTACTGGCTGAGGCCTGTAATGCTCTTGATAAAGACTTAGCACTTGTGCAGTTGTTTCTCTAGGTGTGTAATGTTCATGAGTGTGACAAGCAGTTGCTCTGAGAATGAAGAAAACCACTTTTCTCGCTGTTCCTGCAAATATCAGAGACTGTTCCCAACACTGCTGTTTTCTGGAACGTGGTTGGCTAGCTCAACTCTTGCTGTTTTATACATACACCGTGTTACTCAGTGAAAACCAGTATATGAAATGCTCTTTGTACACCAAGGAAATGATACCAAAAACCTTAGGTTCTGCATACAGAATATATAGAGATATGTACGTTCTTGCTTAGCAAGAAAACAAACCAACCAAGTCACCTTTCAGTAATGATGACTAAGAAGAGGCTGCAAGTTCTACAGTTTCTTTACCTTAACCTTTGGTGTGAACACGATCATTATGATTCTTTACAGATCTCTACGTAATTATGTATGAGAGGGCAGGATATCATCTATCTTTTCTCAGTTGCTGTGCAGTGAACTGCTATTTTGAAGCACTTAAATGTCTGCAAAACAGTACAGAATTATGGATAATTCTAACATTTTGTACCTAGCAGAAGTAATTTTTTTTTTTTTAAAGAACGGCTACATACAATGTTAGAGTCCTGACTTGCAGTTCTCACCTGGAAGCACAAAGTTGTTTTATTATTTTGGCAAAAGTCACATTCAGACTTCCAGTGCCAAAGCATCTCTAGAACTATTTCACACAATGATAATATTGATGCATGAAAACGCATCCCTAGGAAGCTCTATCGCAGGAGAATTTCAGTGCAGAAAATATTGAGCAAGTGGCACAGACAGTTGCTTCAAATATTATTTATTTAGCCTTTGAATCAGTGCCTTTTGGTTTCTTGTATCAAGGAGGGCTGCTGGTGTCACATAGTTACGTATTCGTAGAGAGAGGAAATCTAGATGGCTAATGGTCTTCTTTGTGCTTAAAATATAAACTGTTGTCACTTGCTGACTTTTGCTGAGTACCAGTGCAGTGATAGAAGATGAAGGTGCTTATAGATGGGCTGAAATAGAATAAAGTCCTTTGGCAGTTCTCCCGACTCCCCTAAGTAAACAGGTCTTTTGTAAATAAGATACCATGAAAAGCACCTTAGACGATGAATTTCAAAGGCTTGAAATGTAAAAGTTCCTAGAGCTGCACTGTTTGTTTTCTTGTGCTTGTTTCCATTTAATTTTTGAAGCATTTCAAAGCAATTCTGCAGCTGTCTGCCTTGAAAATCTTCTCTTTTCAGCCAGTCCCATGCCCCACTGGGAGCGTGTATCAAAACTACCCACACCAGCCAGCACTGGAATGCCAAGACAACACTTGCTCTTTGTACAAATTTAGGGCTGACATTCAAGCAAAACACATTATGAATTCTTTGTGGAGGCATTTTCATCTTGCATCCATAGCTGAAAAGTACATTAATTAATAATATTCACTATTGTGTACAGAAAGGTGGGGTAAGAACAAAGCAGGGGCTGTTTTGTGGCCTCCTTTCCTTGCATGGAGCAGATTTTCCCTTACCCCGGAATTCTGAAGTTAAATTAAGAATGTGTGGGAGTCCCATGGGAGTAAATAAAAATAGAAATACTGGAATGTACAGAAATACTCCTTGTCCTCTAAGGGGCAGCAAATGCATTTGCCATTGTTCCTGCAACCCATGCCCCATGAAGATTTTGGATAATTGCAACTCAATCAAAAACAGCTTGAATTTTGTGCTTTTAAGAAAATTTGGTAGGGTAGAATATTCTAAACAACACCATTGTTATGCACAGCCTAGATCTCATTGTACTGAAGAACTTAAAAGGGTAACAGGAAGAAACTGCAGTGCAGACATTTTAAAAAGCATGCAAGACTGTAAAATTATTTCCTTTCTAATCTTTATAGAATATTTATCTAAACATTTGTAAAGCATAAAAGCAAGTTTGTTAAAAGGATCAAATCTTTCTTGTGCCTCCTAGGTATCAGCCTGTATTAAACTTCAGTATGTACTGAGTGCTGTTTTGTTTCTTTTACGCAGCTGTTTATGCTTTTGTAATTCTTTTGTTTGTGATTTCTTTCTTTCTCTACTAAAGTTTGGATTGTGAAACAAGAATTTTTCTGCCCTGGTTTAACATTATGCATTAACATACTAAACTTAAGCTACATTTGTGACACATGCCACAAGCCAAAATACTTTAAGTGACAGTAAATAATAGACCGAGACCAGACTTAGCGAGAGATTAAATCAGTTTTTCTGTTACCTTTTTGCTTCGGTTTTGTATGCAGTCTTGTAATGTCCTCCAGTTGCCCGTACAAAGCCTTAGCTCCCGTATTTCTTCCCCAATATATCCATGTTTGGGTGCAAGGAATATGGAAGGCGGGCAGAGACAAGGCATGAGGAGCCCTGGGCTGAAGTTCTTCTCAGGTTGAGCAGAACTGGGGTTGTTTAGGATCAGCTTTTATGAGACGGTGGTTCCAAACCCACCCCAGAGTGAAGCACTCACTGTAACGGGGATTGGCATAAAAAGGGTTGTGATAAACACGCACAGGCAAAAAGTCGAGGAAGCACAGTTTTAAACAATGACATGGATGGATAGATTTAACCGAATATCCAGGCATCTTTTTTTGTTTTTGCACTTGAACTCTATTCACATTTCTTATGTGAGCTTTAGTGGATACTACAGCACCATGAATATTTTGAAAAGCAGCTAAATCAATGCTAGTCTGACTAGTTTATGGTGTGATTTAAGTAAATACTTACTGTGTTTTTTACTTCCGAGTGTTAGTTTTCAGGGAGTGGTATTGCCCGTGATATCCTGTTTTGTAAAACCTGCTATGCAAGCAATCTGCTTGTAAAAAAAATTTTTTATATAGTTTATGCTGGTTGTAACTATAATTTTGTTTTAATCTTTTGCTTTATATGTGCTTTATGTATTCATTAAACTGTTTACATCACAAAACCGGTGTACTAATGATTTAATTTGTTTTAAATACTTTAATCCATTAACAGAAGTTGCAACAAACTACTTCATCGTATCATTAAAAGAGGCTGTATGGCCTTCTACAAAATTCTGTTAAAACAGTGTGGTGGACAGAAGTGAAGAGGGCTTGCTTTCTGTAAGGAAATGATGAGGTTGTAAAGAAATAGAGCTGCTAAATCTGCTGTTCTCAGTTTATGGTAATGGAAATTGAATCTGGCCTCTCTTTTTCCTAGGAGGTAGTAATGAATGATGAATGACCTAAAAATTAATTTGTGTGTAGGAACTTCCAGTTTGACTAAAGCTCATTTCACTTGTCTGCTTGCCAAGCCTCGGAGCGCTTTAGATTTGTCTGTTTAAAAAAAAATAATCTGTACAAAACAAGCAAGTATCAACAGGTGAGTACCACGCAGCACAGGGTAAAGGCAAAGCTTAGGAGCCAACAGCTCATAGAATTGATTTCGACATGTTCATTTAACACTTGCATGACAATATACGTTAGACATGCTTAACAATTAACAAACACATTATTTAATGTGCTGGAACTAACCATCTCTAGCATTTTTAAGGAAGTCACTGCTTGAAGCAATTATTATAAACCAGAAGAGGAATATGGAAGTCAGACCAGGTTAAATGCTCTGTAAGTGATGTTTAGAAGAGCAGGCACTAACTTTTGGTGAAGTATTAGTGATGCTTTTTGCTCAGCCCAATGGCA